GGGGCCACATTATATGGCATCACAAGGAAGCCCACGACCCAGAATATTGTTTTGATCATGAATTACTATAAATATGGTGATCTGAGACACTACTTACACCAAAGTCTAATCCCCGTACCCTGGACGTGGAGGCTGGATCTGTTGCGGGAGTTGGCGAGAGAGCTTTACAGTATCCACAAGGTAGAAATTGTCCACAAAGATTTACACAGTGGTAATGTTTTGGTAGACATTAAAGGGGACATTGAACATTGGAAGGCCAATCTTACTGACTTTGGATTAAGCGGTCCCGCTAATCAAACTGATAATGAAAGGCAGAGTAGGAAATATGGGGTGATTTCATATACCGCACCAGAAATTTTAGGAGGCGGACCTAAAACAAAAGCTTCCGATATTTATGCCTTTGGCATGATCATGTGGGAGTTATCTGCAGACAATCCGCCATTTTATGAGGACGATAGCGATAGTAGGGACATAATCGTCAAAATTCTTGGCGGAGAACGACCGAGAATAATTCCAGGCACTCCTAAATGTTATGAAGAATTGATGAAGAAATGCTGGGATGCGGATCCATCAAAAAGGCCAACCGCAGCTGAGGTGTTTGACGAAATTTTGGGTTTCCTGGTGACTTATACGATGGGGAAAAAACATAATCGTTATAGAGATGAAACTTACAAGTCGTTTGAGAAAGGTGAAGAAATGTTAACGACGAGAATTTTAGACAGGTCGAAGCCGCGATTAGTCAGTAAAAGTTTTGAACCGGCTAGCGCTGCTGAACTGGATGCAGCAAAACAATATAGTCAAGCGCTGAATACTTCAGCCCCTCAGTAAGTATTGAATACAAATATGCTCTTCTTTTGTGACGATAGCCTTGTTGTCTAATCGTTCGTTATTATTATTATCTGATTACTAGGTCACTCGACATGTAAGTATTTAACTGTAATCCGTGTTATTATTCTTACATACTAAACGTTTAATCCTATTTTTAGGGACATCGATATACCGCAAGTAAGCTAAATACATTGTTTCGAAGACAATCAAACAATATGTTATTTATGAGCGAACGGTATTTGGTTGATATGTTTGCATTAATATTGTATGATACTCGTGTACTTTCAGAAGGCTTGTATAGAGTGTTTGTTATTTACGATATATAGCTTTGTACACTCACTTTGTAAATATGTGATTTATAAATAAAGTAGTCTGTTATTTAAATTATTATAATCTTCTTCACGTATTACATACTTATTGTATATATCAAAATATTGATTTAGAATTGTATTTAGTATTGAAAATTCGTCATATATTCAATACCTTATTAGCAGTACGGTAATTGAATATTTAGGGAATTACAAATACGAAAGAGCCTAATCTAATGACAAAGGCAAATACGTTGAATATTATTGTTTAATATGGCAACTGTGTATGAAGAGTTAATATTTAATGAATGAACAATGGATCTGTTATGCCCGCATAGTATATCACAGATCATGTTCAAGCTACAATGTTGAGTCTATGATATTGAACAAATTTTAGCCATTTAATCGAGCCCGACAATGCTAAATACAATTCGACAAGCTGGTGGTTTTCAAAAATAGAAATTTCTTGCATGGAGACATTGATCTTGAATTATTGTTCAACATTACGTGCGCGTTTCGTAGCAGTAATTGTTGCCAACCCTGAGTGAATTCGAAGTATCGATTATTCTTATCGATAACGCATTGACAGTTTTTAATAAATTATTCTGCTTATTGATATTAGAAGTTAATTATCAAAAGAATTAATCTGAAGACGCGTGAAAGAAGATATTATTTGTTAGCGATTCAGTTTTCTACTCACTGGATATGTTTATTAACTGCGGTCATTTTTCAGATATTTCAGCAAACATAATTCTCACAAAAAAGCGCTAAAAGCCATGAAGGCTTTTAATCACGAGGTTGGGCCAAATTAGCTTCTTAGTCATACACGCTTTTCATGCAACGCAGCTTTAATTTTTACTACAACTTCCCATTTAAAATCACTGTTGTTCATGCAATGCAGCAATGATCTAACGTGACCGCCCTGATAGTGCAACGGAATAGGAAATTGTAATCTACGAAAAATACCCAAGGTAAAGCCGGGCAAATTGAATAGCCGATAACGGGTGGAAAGGTTGTGACAGATTATAGCGTAGAGAATCATGGCTCCACTGTGTAGATAGAAAAGAATAAGAATTGTCGAAAGAATAAGTAGTGAATCTTGGGGCGTACACACATATTTACTGTTTTATATCCTATAGACTTCCATGTTTTCTAATCCCTCTGTTACTTCTGTTTTCCGCTCTCCATTTATAAACCCGTCTTTTTCTCCCGCTACTCACCCAATACGAACTCCCTCCTGCCAATCTTTCAAGTGCTAATATGACTTCCTTTCGATAATGACATCATAATCTACACAGGAACATCATCGTCCCGCCCCTTGTAATTAACGGTGCCCATGGCTGGAGGATGGTTAAAAAAGACATCGACTTTCGATTTGGTTTTGGATCTGGATCAATTATATCGATGGCGGGGGAAAAATCAGCAAGAATTTTCAAACCGCGTTTAAGTTTATGCTAGGAAAAAAAGGTTCAGAGTTGACTTACGAACTGATACTTGGTTATGTACGACGAAGGCAAGGATATAGTACTGGTATCGGTAATGTGTTTTAGTGTTGTTTATACTCTTTCTTGGTAGTCATCAGAAAAGGCAACATTGATGCAGAAGAGGGAGTGAAAATGCTCTACTTCGATGCTTAATTGTTTTATCGGAGCAGTCGATTCTTGTGATATTAATGACGGTACAAGTACTGATACCACAGCTGATGATGATAGTTTCCCCGATGTAGACGTTATTGGTGATTGACTCAAAACTTCTCGAATTCGGTTTATTCGACTGACTATAATGTCTGTACACGGCGAAATGTGGTAATTAATGTAGGTGGCTACTGCCTATCAGGTCAGGCCACGGTCAACATGGCTACGAATGGTTGAAGGTTGACTAAGGGGAGGTAACAGATTCCTGCACGATGGATTAATCGTGGTAGGGACGACGCCTTTACTGATACGGAGAATGCAGTCAGGCGTTTATCGGTTTTCAAACGAGTTGGTAGCGGGATAAAAGAAAGAATTTGTATGGAGTATAAATGCTTATGTAGGAGGGTGAGAAGGAGAGCTGAGGAAAAAGGGGGGGCGGGGAGTTTTGCCGTTTGTTAATAGATGATTTATAATAATACATAATTGTAAAGTCTAAAGCGGTGCAGATCTCTCGCAATTTCATTGGTCAATTTGGGTATGGCAACCGACAATAAATCAGGATGAATTGGATTTCATTGAAAGATCCCGATCCGATCGGTTGCTTTTTTGTTGTTCTGCAAGATTATACACTACCCTCGGAAAAGTATTTGGTCAAGCATTTTTTAAAAATTTCAAGATTGAACATATTAACTAGGCAAAGAAAATTTTTAAATGATATCTCCTGGTCTTGACGATTATGAACATATGTTTGTTTTGTGCTACGACGTATAGATAAACAAAAGCGTAAACATAATTCAACACGAAACGTAAAAAATTTGATTGTATCGACATGGGAAAAGATCGTGAATTAAACGAGTTTGAACGTGGACAAATTGTTGGTTTACAAATGCTGGAAAGTCCCATGAAGCTATAGCTCGTATTCAAAGCACTGTTACGTATACGATTACCCGACATGCTAATTCCAGTCATGAATCAAGTGCTAAAAGTACTACAAGAAGAATGGAGAAAAATTCCACCTGAAACTTATACTAAACATGCCACATAGAATTGAAGCATGCATTAGGAATCAAGGATGGCCTACAGAATATTAAATGTCATGTTTGTGCTAAAAAATTAAATAAATAAAATATTTCTTTTGTTGACCAAATACTTTTCCAAGGTAGTGTATCTAGTAGGACGGAAATGAGATGTGCGTTTGACTGATAAAGTTCGTGAGTCAAAAATGTTTTGTTGTCATCCGTGAATAAGCACCCCCATAATAATAGGTGAAAGCGCCGATCGTGAATAAGCACCCCCAAGATTACCTAGATTAACTGCATGACGCGCCCCCCATTAAAGTTTATTATGTAAGTATACACAATAATAGTAGCTTCTGGTTACTGCAATTACTGTTGTAAGCTGCCTCCCAACGCTGTTGTGGGTTATACTTTACGTAATGTTTTGCCGATTATTTTAATAATGCTGATAAGAGTTGACGATCCTATCGTGAATAAGCACACCCCTCACTATGATAAGGGTGGGTGCTTATTCACGGTAGTATACGGTATTACAATTTATCGCTATAACCTCTACATTATACAGTATACTAATATCTACTGGCTCTTGAGAAAAAGTGCCGAGAATTCAACTTTTGTCACATGCACGCACGTAATTGTGACAGTTGGGCGATGGACTAATAAATTAACAATAGAAAAAATATTTAAATAAATAATAAAACAACGCTCATAATAAGGAAATTGAAAAATAATTCAGAATAGTGTCGCAACAGAAAAACGGTGCAAAATGAAATCATTTACACGATGTTAGTAAATAAATTTATCGAAACTTGCTCTATAATTTATATTGCTATTAAATTGATTACCACGCCTGCTGAATCAATGACAGAAACGGGGTTATTACTGTATAACTGTAAATATTGTGTCTCATTCTGAGATTTGGTCCTGTTTTCGGAATTGTCACATTAAAATAATCGTTGACCCAATAATTTACATAACAATCTTGAAACGGGTTAACGCATTCACAGAATTCAAAATCGATCTCAACGTAATACAGCACTGCAGACAGCTTCTAAAAAAATTCTTACAAGTACTTCATCATATAGAATCTTTGTTCACAATTTTAGTAGTAATAGCTTTCGTTCATCGCGCGTACGACAAAAACTGTTCATAATATGTGACAATGTCGAAATAAATATTATTCTAAACTTTTTTTGATTTGGCGATTCAAGTCAGAACATTGATGTTAAGATTATACGTAATCAATAATAATAATAAACTTATAATCGAGATATGTCAGCTTATTTATAATTCGTCTAGCGAATTTCTCATATTTTTATTATCGGTTTTTTTTGTTATTATTGAATTTACAAAAAACTAAGTGACTATGTAGATGTAATGCATCAAGGAAATGTTATGTTATCTAAAGCCGCTTTTTTTTTTCTCTTTCCCGACTAAAGATCTTGACGATACACAATACGAGCAATTTTTTTTAAGTAAATAATTTCGGGAAAGCTGTAGACTGGGTATGTAATTAAATGTAACTATTGCAATAACCCGTCATTTTCTAAACAGACAAGACCGACTCTTTGTTTACAATTATTGCAAGATTTAATAAACTAATGAAATAATGAGCCGCTGTTGCTATTCAAAGCGTAATAATAAAAAAATATTTGTTTACCTCTTTTTTTTGCCCCTTTTGACCGGAACCCTATAGAGATATAAATGGCAAGTGATACGAGAGTACATATAAGGACAATTCCGTTATTAATCACATGTTTGCTTGTTTTATTACCCGTTTATTCAACCTGATTTCATTCTAAAACTTTTTGCCCAAGATTTTCCACTCTGCTTAACTCAATATTACGTCGTAGACGCTGTAAGTCAACTACGTCTTTCGTGCAACGAATGAATTGTCTGGTTGCTATTCAATAAATTTGATCGAGCAGTCAAGGCCGCCTCAAACAAAATTTTTTCGGTGTCTGGCGGATTCCATTATTACAATTATTTGTGTCCTACACGTGCTCTACTCCATTTCCATGCTGATAGCACACACCAAGATTAAATTGAGCAATGGGATATCCTTGTTGAGCTGCTTCTTGATACCATTCAACTGCTTTATGTTCATCTTTTTCTACTCCATTTCCATACTGATAGCACACACCAAGATTGGATTGAGCAATGGGATATCCTTGTTGAGCTGCTTTCTGATACCATTCAACTGCTTTGTGTTCATTTTTTTCTACTCC